TTTGAGCTTTTCTTTTTCCTCCCGTGGGTTGTACTCATGCTCACACCCACCTGGAACCCGCCCTAGCCACCTCCCCATACCAATTCCTCCTGATCAATCCTTACCTTCCTAAGCATATACGCCGAGATGGTAACCCGTGAACCTTATCTTTTGCTCTTTATAGTAACAAGACTCTCTTTCTGATTTACCGTGCTCACGTACCTCATATGCGCTGGTTTTCTTGTTGTGCTTCAATCGCCTTTATTATCACCACTAGATCCCATCCCTTCCTCTTCTCCACCTCCTTCTTCTGAGTTTGCTCTGAGATCACTCTTTTTCTTCATATCCAAATTCACCGCCGGCCAGAAGACTTTTCCCCTATTTTGAAACATCGCTCAGGTCTCCCTTGGTACTCCAAAGAATAAACCCCCAAAGTTAAAATATGGTTTAATACCAAATTCTTAGAAATATTAACCACATTTCTTGCTGCTTAGGCTTTTAAACCCTTTTCCCATCTCACCCCTAAAGCGGACCTTGTACCTAACACCACCATAAATGTGGGGTTTTTCTCTCTTCTCTTCAGGTTCTCAAAGCTTCCTGATTTCTGCAAATATGTGGCTGTTATTTCCCTCAGTTCCTTTTTTCGACCCAAGGTTGCCTCCCCTTAAAAGACTATTTTATAAGGCACCTGATCGGTCAGTCAGTGGAAGATGCGACTCCCCATCTCAGGTTGTGTGCTCCAAGCCCCATGGGTGTAGAGATTATCTGAGAATCTTAAAAAAAAAAAAAAAAAAAAAAAAAAAAGATCACACCAATTTTGTTTTAAAGATGCCTCTCAGTTTCTATAAGATACGCTTCGGTAAGTGCCTGAATGAGTTAGACTCGGGAAAAAAATTACTACATTGGTCTCAAAACATAGAATATTTTTTTGGGGGTCATAGAAAAAATTAGCCTTTAATAAGATGAGGTAAGACATTAACCATATGAAGTTGAAGGCAAATATGGGGGAATACAGTTATAAATGGCTTAAAATTTAATGTGAGAATTTTAAGATAAAAAAATATATAAAATTACAGGAGAATACAAAAACAGTATGTCCCTCAAAGGTTAAACCAGCAGAGTGGGGTTGATAGGAGAAAACCAAGCTTACAAGTTTGTTCAGTAATTTTGGGAGGTGGTGTTTAATATCTTCAGAAGAAAATTTAAGTGGCTTTTTATTTTCAGGGCCAACGACTGCCAGTACTTGCATCAAGCCCAACAGCTCAATTCACAAAATGCCTATATATGGCTGACAGACAGACAATACACAACAGACAGATACATACACATTGACAGTTATTAAATGCAACACCGTTGGGAATTTTTTTTTAAAGCTTCTTGAAAACAGTGTAAACATGCTGGCAGGTGGTGTTCCGGTTAAAGAACGAAGACCTGGTTAACTCAATCACTGGAAAATGATAACTAATTTAAAAGAATGAAAACAGCCTATGGGATGGAAAAGATCTCCAAAGACAAACTGGAAAAAAAGTTACTTACTTTACATAGCAGTGCTAGTGTGACATTCGATTTCACTTGTAGGAGGGACAATTTGACGCCATAGGCAGTGCGTGAGAGAAACTCTCTCAAAACACAGCAGTTGATGCCTCTCTGTCCTTCCCTTTAGGAGAACGAGAACTGTTGGTCGCTAAAACCTTAAACCACTTTAGATACAAATGCGCTGCAACTACTTGTACTTTTCTTTTGTTGGAATTATCAACGCAGCTCAGAAACTGCAGCATACATAGCACCTGGTGGTTTTCATAGGTGGTCGGTCATCCAACCTCCTGATTTCAACTGGTCGATCTCGTGGTCGCGATCAAGTCCTGCTGCCTCCCCCAGTTAGCGAGAGCCTGTTCGGGATTTCTCTCTCTCTGCCCCTCTTCTTCTGCCGGGCTTTGTTCTCTCCTCTCTTCACTCAGTAAACAAACAAAAAAACATTAATAAGGAGATAAAATAAAGTGCTTTTCTTAATACAATCTTTTTAATGATGACAGGTCAATGATGCCATTAGCAAAATATAGAAAAATTTAGACATTTAAAAAGTTACTACAGAAGACTTCATGAATAAAAACCAATTCATCAGAGAGGATTTTGATAAAAGGTAAATTCTCTTGATACCTAACTCAAGCACTTCTAGCTAAGATGGCTTTGAATGAAGGAGCATCATAGAATGTCCTCCTGTCATCCCACAAAATGAACAAAATTCGCAGCTACTGTTGGGTGGGGAAGAATTACAACACACGAAAAAATGAAAAGGATGGCAAAAGAAAAAAAAAAACTAGAGAAAATTTTAGAAGTAAGCAGCACGATTCCAGCCCATGGCCCTTATTCCACTTCAGAAGCAATGTCAAAAAAAAAAAAAGATTAAAACTAAAAAAACATTTGTAAAATTCTCATGGACAATTTTCAATTTGCAGAGAAGCTCAGTACTTTGTGGGTGTCCGGGGAAACCTAAGGGCAAACGTTAGGAGAACCACTACAGCACTCGGGGATCTCAGCAGAGGCAGAAGGATGGCCTGACCGGTATCAATAAAAGACACTGCATGAGTGGGGAATGAGCGGACGACAAGCCATCGCACTGGGACACACCGCGTGACTGGGCAGTGAGTGAAGTCGGCTCTCTCTCAGAATGAGCACAGGCTCATAAGTCACCGCCACAGGTACGCATCATTGCCCAGCCAAACGCCTCCCTCTCCCAATACCACGGGCTCAAACACTGACACTTCTTAGAGGAGGGAAAACATATCGGTGGTAGGTGGGGTGTGAATCCTGGCTGGTTTCAGCCTTTCTCCATAGCAACATAAAGTGGAGACAGTGTACACTACTGGGTTAACTGTAACAGGCTCAGGAAATATATTGGTCGGAGAAAGAAACTGCCAACTGGCAGTATTATTCATGTGACTTTGGACAGGGTAACCTTCTGTGCCTCAGTTTTCTCAATTCGTAAAACAAAAAAACAATGAAGTTCTAATTCCCCTCCACATCCTTGTGAGAATTAAATAAATATGCTAAGTGTTTAAAGAAATAGTACTTGGCACATTAATTAATAAATGCAAGCTGTTATTATCATTAATATTATAAGTTCTGAGGAAAGAATCATAATCAAATATGCCTCACAAAAAGAGGTAGAGTAATCCTCATTAAAAAAAAAAATTTTTTTTAATGTGTATTTATTTTTGAGAGAGAGAGACAGAGACAGAGCATGAGTGAAGGAGGGGGGCAGAGAGAGAGGGAGACACAGAATTGAAGTTAGGTTCCAGGTTTCGAGCCGTCGTGCTACAGAAATGTGGGGCTCTAAACCTGCTGTGAAAATCAAGTTGAGCTGAAGTCAGATGCTTAACCAACTGAGCCACCCAGGTGCCTCCCCTTTATTTAAAAAAATTTTCTTAATGTTTACTTATTTTTGAGAGAGAGACAGAGCATGGGGAGGGGGGGCAGAGAGAGGGAGAAAAAGAGGCAACTTTTATCTTAAAAAAAATTTTTTTTTAATATTTATTTTTGAGAGAGAGAGCGGCGAGAGAACGAGTGAGCATGAGCGAGGGAGGGGCAGAGAGAGAGGGAGGCACAGAATCTGAAGCAGGCTCCGGGCTCTGAGCTGTCAGCACAGAGCCTGACGTTGGGTTCGAACCCATGAGCTGTGAAATCATGACCTGAGCTGAAGTTGGACACTTAACCAACTGAGCCACCCAGGTGCTTCCCCTTTTTTTAAAAAATTTTTTTAATGTTTATATATTTTTTGAGAGAGAGAGAGAGAGAGAGAGACAGAGCATGAGCAAGGGAGGGGCAGAGAGAGAAGGAGAAAAAGAGGCAACCTTTAGATGCTGATAAACATTAGAAAATTCAGGGACCATAATATACTTTTTCTTGGGGGAAAGGACCTCAATACAAATTAAAAATACCAAGAGATAAATCGAAAGAAAGAACTAAGAACAGTGAAGCTATGGGGAAGAAAAAACAATGGTGTGTTTCAGTGAATGCACGTAAATATACAAATAAAACTGAACAGCTGAAGGTTTCACGGGTACAGGTCTGAATGTAAATAAAATCTGACAAAGTAAAAATAATATAGGCAAAGATAATCTGAAGGTGGAAAAAGAAGTATAAAAGAACTCATGATTTCAGTCTTCCATACTATAGGAGTTAATTGATTCTGTCTAAAATATACAGGTGGTAAGGAAATTCAAAGAAAAAAAAATAACCAAATAGCTTAATAATGTTTCATAATCTTTTTTTCCTTCTTCATCACAGTGATCATTTAAGAACTAACAGCTCTTGTAATCTTGTAGTAAAAAAAAAAAAAACATTTGTCTGGAATTCAACAAGGTCTTCAGTTTTTCTTTCAATTAATTTCTTTTTCTTTTGAGAGAGAAGGGGAGAGAAAGAGAGAGAAAGAGGGAGAGATAGGGGGAGGGACAGAGAAAGAAGGAGAGAGAGAATCCCAAGCAGACTGCACTGTCGGCACAGGGCCTGAAATGGGGCTCAATCTCATGAATCACGAGATCACAACCTGAGTCAAGATCAAGAGTCAGATGCTTAGCTAACTGAGCCACCCAGGTGTTCCTCTCTTCAATTAATTTCTTAATCTGTTAAACTCACGTAAAATTAAATAGTTTTCTAACAATGCACGTGAAAAATAATGTCATTCTCATAAGTTATCTCTGTGTGCCTCCGTCCCTGTCTCGTGTACATACATATAAAACAACGTTTGAAAGGCTCGCTTCAGCAGCATATATACTAAAAAAAACACTTGGTAAATTCTAGGCAGTGAGGTTTTGAGTAGTCATTATTTTCTTGAACTCTGAATTTTTGTATGATATATCACTCTTACAAATAAAAACTTACTAATTAAAAAAAAAAGCAGTTAACGGTTAGGACCAATTTCAAGTAAGTCCTACGTATCGCAAAGCCGTAAGAACCTCATTCTATTAAGCGTACGTCAGTCCGCAAAGAATTTCAAAGTCCATCCAACATAATCGACTCACCAGGAAGTGCGGCTTTACTTATAATTCCTGTCAGTAGAGCCAGTTCCTGCAGGGACCCAGCGCTCACGTCCTGGCAGCGCAGGATTGCTTGGATGGTATCAGAATGCGAAATGAGAAACTGCAACACCTGAGCCAAGGAGAAGGGAGAGAAATGGAAAAAACAGAGGTCAACAGGAGAAAATTGTATTATGAATTTACAATTCATCTTTTTTTAGTAACGCTGAAGCCAGAAATTCAATGTCATGAATCACAATGAACGTAATATAAGAATCGTCTTTTGCATTTATGTGGCTTATTTCTTCAAGAAGCAAATATTTACCTAAAATTCAAAGAAAGATCATTTCAAAGTTTAGAAATTACTGTATTTAGAGGCTACGGTTGAAAAGTATAACTTAGAACTACTGTATGAATACTGTTACTTAACTCTCAGTTTCTTTTATTTTTGTCCAAGTGGAACTAGAACAGGAGTTTAAAATAAATGGATATAAAAATGACTTACTGAATTTAAGTTGCTCTATAAAAATCTGATTGGCCTGACATGGGGACAATCACATAAAAAGCTTTTGTTAAATTCTCCTTTTGATATGGTAAATACAAACGAGAGAAAAACCCTGCCCTCTAAACTGCGCCCTTCCACACTGGCATTTTCCAGCCTACCATCATGGACTCTAGTTTCACACGGGATGTCTCCTCAACTCGATTAAACGCCTTGAAGGCTGAGCCTCTATGCCAAAACAAGCCAAACATCTGAATCACTCAGCAACTGTGTCCCTTTTTAGGTTTTAATTCAGATTCCTGGCCTTAGCCCATAACTGCTGGATGTGGTGCTCCGTCATCTGTGTTTTTAAAACAAGCTCCTTGGGGGATTCTGCGATAGCCAGTGCAAGAGTGGCATTAGAGAATCTTGTATCATCACAGCGTCCCACTTGGAATAAAAAAAAACCTTAATCTCAATAAAAGAGAAGACAGGGGAAGTCTCTGAGTTTTAAAGAACTGACCCAAAGGCCACATATGAAAGGGGTAAGATGTACTAATGCAGTATAAAACAAGATGTCGAGGCGCCTGTGTGGCTCAGTCGGTTGAGTGTCTGACTTTTGATATTAGCTCAGGTCATGATCCCGGGGTTGTGGGATCAAGGCTCACATTGGGCTGCACACTGAGCATGGAGACTGCTTAGGATTCCCTCTCTCTCACCCCCTCTGCCCCTCCCCGACTCGCGTGCTCTCTCTCTTAAAAAAAGGGAAAAAAGAAAAAACCGGGTGCCTAGGTGGCTCAGTCTGTTAAGCGCCCACCTTCGGCTCAGGTAATGATCTCATGGTTCTTGGGTTTGAGACCCGCACCAGGCTCTGCACTGACAACATGGAGCATGCTTGGGATTCTCTCTCTCTCCTTTTCTTTCTGCCCCTCCCCCACTCAGGGGCGCACTCATGGGTGTCTCAAAATAAATAAACTTAAAAAATTTAAAAAAATACATAAACAAAACAAAACACGGTGCTATGTTAGAAACAGCAGCATTCTACCCTGGTGACATAAGCCTGGAGACTGAAGACAGGGAAAGCACATAACATTACCATGAAGTATTGGGACACAGTTCTGGAGGGTGTTGCAATAATAGGGCAAAACAATAAAGACTCCAAAGTCATAATGATAAGTCTAATTGGTGAATGGCTAGATTATATATTGTATTATTAGTTTAAAGAGACAAAGATTTCTTTTTTTGAAGGTTTCAACTGAAAAGAGAGGAAAATAAAACGAATTTCTGGTGCTCAATGAAAAAAATTTTAGAAAATTCACTTACTTCAATTACTTCGTTCTCTAAATATCACAATTAAATGTGCCATTATCATCTATCCTTTATACTTTCTGCAAGGCCTAACATAGTGTATGGCCTCTTGCTAAATCCGTGGTTAAACCACATTTTAGAAGCAGCTTATTCCTATCATCATAACCACTTCCCTTTACAGAAGAACACATTTTGAGCTCTTGCTTTCCATCTCACTATTCCATTCTTCACTGTGGGGTTTCATTCAAATAAGAGTATATGTAAGAATGGTCTGGTGAAGTTCACGCAAGGTACCAGGGGGCTGGCTATCAGTGCCCGGGTCTGCCACAGTGGACGGTAAACCCATGGACGCTGTCTATGCCTAGGGTTTCTGCAACTCTAAAACGCAGCCCCTGCACCAGACGACCTCCAGGCCAATGACTCTTCTTACCTGGCCTGCTGCCTGCAAGTGCTGGGCCGTGCTGGACGTGAGGATGACCTGGCACAAGCGGAGAGCCGGGAGCAGAATCTGCCGGTAGCGGTCCACGGGGGCAGGGATGAAAACTGGCGGGTCTCTCATGCCAAACATGCTTCATTCATTTCCACCCAACAAGGAGAGAGCGACAGTCCAAGAGTTAAGGGACGCTAACAGTTCCTGCCCATCTCCATGGCAAACAATCACAGGTGCCTGATTAAGATGTGAAGCTACTAATGAGAATTCTCCATCTCATATAGACAGTAAAAACGGAGTTATTTCAATTATGAAAAAACTCAGTAAAGAAAATCTGCATAATTTGAAGACAATGCTTGGAATTTCCTAAACATATTTATTCTACTCTGAAAGCTCCCTTGGGCCATAGAAACTATAAGCAAGAAACAAATAAAAACAAGTTATTTTCCCCAAGTTTCCCCCTCCTATACCCACAGCCAAAAATGAATCTACTTTGCCCATTAGATTTAAAAAATCAAGACTTTAAAAAGTTAAAACGAAGTTGTAAAATCACTTAACTTAAAAAAAATTTTTTTTAATGTTTATTCATTTTGAAGGAGAGACAGAGCATGAGCAGGGGGAGGGAGAGGGAGAGCGAGAGCGAGTGAGAGAGACAGACAGACACACACACACACACACACACACACACAGAATCTGAAGTAGGCTCCAGACTCTGATGGGGGCTCAAACTCATGAACCATGAGATCATGACCTGAGCTGAAGTCAGATGCTTAACCGACTGAGCCACCCAGGTGCTCCTAATATCACTGAACTTTTAAGATTAGGTATTAATAAAATATTATTTATTATAAATATTTAAATTTTTAGACAAAAGAAAATGGTTGCCAAATGAAGAAAATGGACACAAAACACAGAAATAAATAAGAGAAAAGCTTTGCACAGACAAGTGATTATATGCCAAGACCCAAGGAATGTAATTAACTCAATCCTCTTTACCTAAGGCGAAAATAATAGCTGTCATGTTTAAAACTTCAGAAAACAAAACAACAACAAAAAAACCCTACATTTCTTTTCTGGAGGTAAAACAGTTCTATAGTTAATCCTAGAAAAACTCAAATATTCAATTTGGCAATGGGCTTATGAAGAAAATTAGTAAAACGGTGTTATTTACTTCCAAGAGGATAGGCTAACAATGCTGAAGCCAGTAGACAAAAACGAAGAACAAAAACAAAAACAAAAACAAAAACAAAAACAAAAAAACCCAAAACCCATATTCAAACTGAACCAAGAAATCTGTTAAGAAGCTTGAAACTTAAAATAATTTGACTAAAAGCTTTCAAATGTACAAGCAGTTGGCAAAACGCTACAAAAAGAAAAATATAAAATACTATTCAAGTCATCAGGAATAAGAAATCCACAACAAATTATAATTTCACTATAATACTTTAAAGGACCAGTATAACTAAAAATATATATTCTATTGAACAGAACACTAAAGTTGGGAAGAAAACCATTTACTAACAAAATGCTTTCCTATTTCCCTATTACTGCTCTAAAATGGAAAGCATTAGGTCCCTCCTACTCTTACCCTTATTAGCAACTTCCATTTACTAGTAAAAGGCAGGGATGTAGGACCAAAATTAAAGTTATCAAGGTGAAAGAGTACTGCTCAAACAGAATGATAAACCAATGGCGAAGATTTCGTTTGGAATTTCTTTTTCCTCGCTAATCCTTTACAATGAAGGAACAGTACGGAAACAATACCAGCGTATACTGACACTTACCCCTGCGGGTCCATCTCTGGGCGCATGTCATAGACCTGGCACTGCGCCAGTCGCACTATCACCCCAGACCTCAGCAGCTCTAAAGCGCCCTGCTGTATCTTGGCCACTCTTGTAAGAAATGCCTAAGAAGTTACAAAAGGAAAAGCATCAATACAGAAATCATATCCAAGGGCCTCAGATAAAAATGAGACTCTCTCACAGCATATTTCTGATCTCTCATCATACTGAAGAGAAATTCCAAGCTAGCTCTGCGGGGCACATTATACACGGGATCTCCGAGGATTAAACACAGCATATCTGAGGTGTCACAGTACAGTGCCTTGAGTATTCAACTCAACTGTAGTTCTACTTATCATCATGCGGGCATATGGGGGGGGGGAGATGGTTTTGCTCATAGCTGTATCTCTAGCACCTACTGCCACACCTGGCATATAATAGGTATTTAATAAACACTTGTTGAATAAATAAAGGAGGGGGGAGTTAACAACGGGTCCAAGACTTTAGTGCTTCCATTATTGTGACTCTGTAGTATTCTCAACCAGGAGGAAACAGAAAACAAATCTGAAGGAAAGGAAATGATGCATTATATATGGTATTGAAAATCTCGTGTTTAAACTAGAACCAGCACAGCTACGTTGGAATGTTCCACAGGCAGCTAATACAGTCTGAATTCTGTGGCGAAGAGACAATTTTGCTTACTGCTCTCCTCAGAGCACTCAGCGTCCCATTATTCCCCATCATCAGCAACCTGAATGAGGAGCAAGCAGTTCCATTACCCGGCTAACCCTCTCAGGATCACTTCAACTCATCTTTGGCATGCTTTGAAGCTACATTTCTAACACATGTTCCAAATTTAAAACTCTTTGAAATGATTATAGCTTACATGACAGAAATACTAAAAATGTCGGCCACATTAACGTTCTTTGATACATCTACTGCTCTAAGAGGAAGTGAGCGGTTGATCTAACTTCAAATGAATACAAAGTCTTACCATTTTGGATTCGTAAGTATAAAGGGCTTTTAAGAGGGGAGGTTGTGGCGTTAATAAGCTCTGCAAAGTATGGTCATCTTCTACCAAGCTGTCCACGAGCACCTTCAAGTAGCCACTGTTAGAAAGATACAAGAGCCACTGCTGCTGTTTATCTACGGAGACGATCCGATCAAGTAGAGCCAGTGCCAGCATCTGAAGAAGAACAAATCAAAGCCCAAAACATGGAGATGGCTACCAAAACCAAGGACAGAAACTCCCTTGATATGAAAATATTTAGAGCTTTTCTTACAAGGGAAATGGTAGCTTGCAATTACATTTTGGTGTTTTTTTTTTTTTTTT